TGAAAACATTTTCATTTATTTTTGCACAGTTTTGCATGTTTCTTTTTTTTAAAACATATATTAAGCATGAGCGAACATGATTCAAGAGTCAACTTCTAAAAGAAACCATCCCATCAGTCCAAAGCTAACCATTGCAAGGAGAAGTAAATTCCAAAATTCGAAAGATAGTTCAAAAGGCAGAAAACACAATTCCCCTCCTCAGAGTCCGGGTGGAGACTGAGGTAGTCACGCTCCATCCCTAGATTGCGGCGAACAATATCCGACCAGGGTGCAACTTAAGCATCCCTTATGTGCCTGGATATTAGAAAGATCCCCAAGTCAATTCAAAAGCCTTATAAGTTAGGAGAATACAATGGAAAAGGAGACCTCGATGAGGACGTCCAACTCTTCAATGACTAGAATAACTACTAAATTGTCGACAAAGCTTCCAAATGCAAGCTACTAACATTAAAAATCGTTGGACCATCTAGATTTTGGTACAATGCCCCCACCCCCCGTACGGTTGCATTGAATCATGAATGGACTATTGTGATAGGCTAACCGTTCACTTTAATTCCCCAAAGAGGCAACTAATTACTATAGCTGCCCTGAGTAACATCATGCAATGAGCGAAGGAGAGCATATGGTTATATATCGATCAATTCACTCAGGTTGAAGTTGAAGTAGAGGGAATCATGGAAACCCTCAAATGCTAGATTTTAGAAGTGGCCTCCTTCGCGACCATCTTTTCCATACAAAACTAGGAAAAAATAAGTTACAAATGACTCAAGAGATGTTGGACCTAGCTCAGTCGTACATAAAGTTATAAGAGAAGCTAAATACTCGCTTTGACATCTCGGCCTCGACCACTGACATAAGCTCCAACCGTCGATCTAGGAAGGAGACCCCTCAATAGAAATAAGACGCTAAGATGGGTATGTATGATTACAAATGGTACACACCTTTGAATAATTTCTGAGATAAGATTTACCAAGAATGCAATAACATTGAGTTTCAGAAAGTAGGAATCCGACCCCTTTTCCCTGTTTTGGATTCTTCCTGAATAGATAAATCAAAATACTATCACTTCTATAGAGGACACGACCATAAGATAGATGATTGCGTTCAACTTAAGGATGCGATTGAAGCACTAATTAAGAAGGGCTGATTGTCCGAGTATGTCAAGGGCAACAAGCGAGACCGATAAGAGTATCCTAAAATCAAGTCCCCTACAAAGGTTTCTGAAGATGATCCCAGTAGAAAAAATAGGGAAACCAGCATGGAAAAACGCCAATATATCGCTACCATTACAAGTGGTACACCCCAGGCAAATATCCTTTCCAAAGAGACGCTCAAAAGGAAAATTTTCGAGATTATGGTCGTTTACAAAAACGAAGGTGGCTCATCTTCCAAGATTCTAGGCCGACCTATGATAGGGTTTTGGGACTCCGAGAAGGTTGGGAGAATTTCTAATGAATTGTTTCCCCTGGTAATCATGGCACCCATAGGACATCTTAATGTATTTCAGGTTTTGCTCGACGAAGGAAGTTCATAAGATATCTTCTATTCTTCGTTGTTTGAAAATATATCCTAGATAAAGGAAGCCTAATACCATATGACGACTGAGATCTAGAAGCATTTAACATGATAACCATTTGTACCTGAGATATGTGGAACTAATGGCATCTGTAGGAGAGGAAAGAGACCTTAAATTGATCAACACTCAGTTTTTGTTGGATTTCGTAGCCTCGTCCTTGCACTTAAATCTCAAATACCATAGCCTTCATGGAGAAATATATGTCTTGCACGCCGAACTCAATGGGGAAAAAATATACATCATGCAACCTAGAGGGACAAGGGATAAGAGATAACTATGGAAATTAACATGGCCTCCATCACCTATCAGCATCAAAGCATGAACCTACGTATGCCAAGGAATAACTAAACAAAGAGGAGGCTTGCGGCAGAAATAAGAGGTGGAAAATCTGTTGGGTTATGGTGAAGGTGTGTAAAGTACACAAGAAGGGGAGTTGAATTGTGTTTTACGTTTTCTTTAATTTAACTTCTGATTAGAGTTTCAAAATAAAAACTGGTGTTCAAATTTTGTTTTAATTCGTTGGCAGCAGATATAACAGAAGTAAACAAATAACAGCAAAAGACACAAAAGATTTATCCTGGTTCCTTCCCTAACTAAGAGTACTCAAGTCCCCTTGCCTCACAAGAGATTTTTATTATAACCACTTCATGATTACAATAGCTTATGCTTCTGCATAAGTCTTTTACACTTGCTCAGACCAATTGTCTGAGACTTTCTTGCTTAGAACACACGTCTAAGAATTTCCTTACTCACACCCTTTGACCAAGCCAACTGCTCCAAAGGTCCTCTGGTTGAGACTTACCCTTGCTTAGAGCACATGTTTAAGACTTCTTGCTCACGCCCTTTGGCCGAGCCACCTGCTCCAAAGGTCATCTAGGCTGATACTTTTCCCTGCTCAATCAACCTAGTTGAATAAGACTTTCACAGCTCAAGCACTTAAGCAATGAGACTTACATGGCTTAAGCATCTGGGCTCAAAACTTGTTTCTTGAATCCCAATGATACAAGAATTTTGATCAAGCACGTAGAAAGAGACTTGATCTAAACTACTGAAGGCTCAGTAGAATACAGAACAAGGTTTATATGATACAAGCATCAGAGGTACGGGAAATCACCATAACAAAGACCTAAAGCTCTTAAGATTTCTAAGATATTCAATGATAAGAAATCTTAAGGATTTTACGATTACAACCTACAACAGAAAATCTGCATATTACAATAGAGTTGATAATTGCTTGATGTTGATACTCCTTCATCTGAAGAATCCTTGTTAAGATTCAAACTTGAATCTTCATCCATATTTATAGCCTTTGCAGAAACTAGCCGTTGAAGAGGTAACTTGATCAAATGTCTTTGCCTATACTCCATAGTACAAGAGACATTGATGATGGATGCATAATATATTCTGAGTCCAGTGTGTAACACATTTAACCTTTGAGTCTTCAATAGGTTCTCGTACTAATAGAGCCGTCAAAAGCAGATATCCATAGAGCATGCCAACCTTTCTTCATCCTTGCAATCTTGTAGACTCTAGCCGACAAGCTGATAAGACCATACAACTAGCTTTCTACAGTACGGACAACCACAACTTTATTACAAACTGTGAATGGTACCAGATGCTGATATACAATTGTCAAGTGTAGTAAATCGTCTGAATGCTGAGGCTTTCAGCTCAGAGTCTGTGCCTAGCCACAATAGCAATTATCCTCAGACTCTGCCATCAGAAACTAGCAATGAAGCAACCCTCAAGTGTGTCCATGTAACACAAGTTCTGATTATAGTCTAATAAAAATATTAATATTAAAATACCTATTACCATCGTTATTACTAGAAACCATTATTTGTGTGTATATGTGTGTGTGTGTGTGTGTGTGTTGTGTGTGTATATGTGTGCGTGTACATGTGCGCGTGTGTTTTTGTATGTGTGTGTGTGTTTCTTTATGACTATATACATTAATGATGAAATCATGGTGCAACTGACACAATTGAGGTCTGTGATAAATATTTCAAGGGAGCTGTCGAAGATACTTTGCATGTCTGACTATAACAATCAATTCTCCCTAGAGGAGAGTACACTTAAATATGTCAGGGGAGCTTTTAGAGACACTCTACACGTCCAAATATAACAATCAATTCTCGCTAGCAGTGAACACGATTAAAGATTTCAGGGGAGCTGTCAAAGACACTTTGTATGTCCAACTACAATAATCAATTCCCACACGGGTGCTGTCGGAGATACTTTGTACGTTCTACTACATTAATAAATTCCCCCTAGTCAAAGATTACACGAGTTTCTGCGTAGCTACCGCACCCTTCCTTCATATCTAGCCCATCTAAGAAACGTGAGAGGTGGTGTCCGGAGACGTCCACCTCGATTCGAGTTATACCTCAGAGCGCAGTTCAAAGCAAAACCGCGTCTAGCCGGTCTCTTGCCATATTATTATAAGTGCGACTCGAAGCACAAATGCATCTAGTTGGTCTCATGCCATAATATTATTAGTGAGACTCAGAGCACAATCACATCTATCGGGTCTCATACCATATTATTATAAGTGTGACTCAAAGCACAACCGCATCTATCCGATCTCATGCCATATAGTTATTAACATGATCTAACACACAACTATACCAAGCCGGAACATCATCTTACCAATAAAGAGCGTAGATATTAACAAAAAATGCTTGTATATAAAGTATCCAAACACGACCTCACGAAGTACTTAAGGTTATTTACACTCTAAGCAAAACATTATTTAACGCCCTTTGCGGTAGGTAATCTTTATGAACTATAGGGATAAAATCAAACCCCGACGCTCCTCCGACTCGCAAATAACACGAAGGAGACGAGTGAAAGTAATAAAACGTATATGGTAAAATAAAATAAATGCACCTTATACAGGTAATAAGATGAATTTTGTTAAAACAACAAATATAATAGTTACATACAAATATTTTCCCATATCTTAACGCTTTTCATGCAGTGCACAAGAAGGGTGAGATACAAAGGCCTACTCAAGAATAAAGACGACCCTCTCATCTTGGAGTATCTGACTTGACCTAATCTGCTCTCTCGAATAAACTAATGAACAGTGAAAATGATCCACATGTTGTACCTCATTCTCAAAACACTTTTTAACCCCCCAAAGCTCGAAGAATTATATTCTTTCAATTTTTGAGTTAGGGAACAATTTTGGATACAAAGAAACTCCAACTTCTTATGGGCAGAATCAAGAGCCTCGATCTTCCTCTCTATTATCCTCACCAGGTGGCAGTGGCGGAACTAGACTATAAAGCTTGAGGTCGCCACGAAATTAATCTATAATTTATAAATCAAATATTTATACTATAATGTATATAAAATATCTAAATTATAATAAACACATAGTTGAACATGAAATGATTAAAGAGTATTACATAAAAATACCTTAAAATAATGCTCTACGGTTTTTGAGTAGCTTGAAATCATCAATAATAGTCTCGGAATCAATACTTGTAGCAATTTCTCTTTCAATATTAATCGTCATGCTATCTCTTAGAAAATAAGCTTCCGTTTTGTTTCTCAATCTTGTCTTGATAATTTTCATTACCGAAAAAGATCTTTCCATAGTAACTATAGATACAGGCAGAGTCATGATAAGGCAGAGCAATCTATCGATCAAATAATAACTTTCCTTCTTTTCAGTTGCAACCAAAGATGAACATAACTCTTGAATAGTCGACAAATTATTCAAACTCGATGATTGACGAGTGTCAATAATGAAATGCCGAAGTTGAAATTTCAAATTAATCTTCTCTTACTTATTGAAGTCCATAGGATAATATTTTTCAACTAGAGTGCAAATGATATCAAGGTTAAAAGCCTTGTAATTATCCTTGGGAGTCAAAGCACCACTTATACTTAACAAATAAATTGCTTGCTCACTAAATCTTCTATTCAACTCTTGCAGTTGTTTGTCAATGACAATGAAAAATATTTCAACTCTAAAATAATGCTCAATGGTTACCTGGTTATCTTCAAGATGATAACGACCAAATCTTATTGTTGAATGAACATCATTAAGATCATGAATCTCAATATCATGTTTTTCACAAAAAGACTTCATAGAAGCAAACAATTCATTCCAACCAATTTCTCTTAATTCTTGAATAAGAGTTTTTGTTGTACTAACCAAATGCATAATATTAACTACATCTTGAGATTGTTGTTGTAAAGCTTGACAAAGCATATTTGTGATCCCCATAATTTCTTTCATCAAATGAAATATGAATATGAAATCAAATGACTTCAAATAATTATAAGCACTATCAACATCTCGACCTGAAGCATAACTTAATCCTTCCTTTGCAAATTTTCTTGAAACATGACAAGTTGCTTCATACATATTCATTAAGCTAGAAATAGAAGAAAAGTGTGATCCCCAACGAGTATCCCTAACTCGCTTTAAAGTATCAATTTGATTTTCACCTTCACTAGTTACAATCTCCCCAATCTCTAATAAGTGTTCATTTTCATCTAATTGAGAAGCTTGTAACTTGTCGTGATGCTTTGTAGAAGAATAAACAACATTGACAATTAAAGTAAGCTTCTCAAAGAATTGATGAATTGGTTTAACTTCTCTTGATGCAGTAACCAAAGCAAGTTGCAACCGATGAGTAAAACAATAAACATAATATGCATAAGGACAATCCTTCATAAAGAGTTCTTATAAATCATTCCATTCTCCTCTCATATTGCTAGCACTATCATATCCCTGACCACGAATGTTGGAGACATCAAGGTTATGCAGAGAAAGTATATCACAAACTTTTTGCTTAAGAGTTAAAGATGTTGTCACTAACACGTGCAAGACCAAAAAATATCTCTTGTATAGAACCATCTTTATCAACAAATCTCAAAACGAGAGACATTTTCTCTTTTTTGGATTCATCACGTGCTTTATCTACAATTATACAAAACTTAGAATCACCAATTTCTTCACGGATATACTTTTTCACCCTACTTGAAAGAATCTGCTAGATCTCTTTTTAAATTAGATGTGAAGTATACTTGCTATTAGATGGAGCATTTTCCAACACAACTTTTGCAACTTCATCATTGTAACCTGCTAAGAGTTTTATCAATTCAAGAAAATTTCCTTGGTTTAATGATTCTGTACTTTCATCATGACCTCTAAAAGCACACGCTTGAAAAGTTAACCAACGAACAGTGTCAATTGAAGTCTTGAGACATAGTCGATTCTTCATAATTTTAATTGAACTTTGAGCTTGAATAATATTCCTAATGTGACCATCTTGATTCAACAAGTCTTGACAAGATTTTATAGCATTGTTATGTGGAGAACAAGGATCTTTCCCTATGTGTTTAAGAAATGCACACTTCTTTCCATTTCTAATTTTCTTCCAACCTCTAAAACCTGTAAAAATGAAAACATCGGAACCAAGACGCCCACTTGGTCTTTTGCTAAAAAGATAACATGGTAAGCAATAAGCAGCACCTTCTGAAGGTACATATTCTAACCATGAAGGAAAAAGACTACATATTCTTTGATGGTCTTCTTTACCAGACAATGGATACTGCTCTAAATTCATTTGATATGGACCCCATTTTAAATAAGCTCTTCGTATTTCATCCATTTGATTTACTGGATATTCCCACATTGAAGGACGTTTTCAAGGATCACGTTCTAAAGAATTCTCAATGTCATTCGAACAAACTCTATTAATGTTTTCTCCAATTCTTGGATTCTCAATAACTCTTGTAGGTTCAGACATATATGTTAAATTCTCTTCATCTCTTTCTTTCCTCTTGAAAAAAAAAATCAAATTTTCCACTCTTCATTATCACTTTTGGGCTGCATAAGCAATTAAATAAATTAAAACAACACAATAAAATTTCAACATAATTCAATTTTACAAATATAAATAAGCTAGTAACTTAGTAATAATTAGTAACAAACATCCAACATAATTCAACATTTCAAACTTAATTCTACATTATGCTACATTAGCAATTTTTATACAAGAGAAATGCTACAACAAATTAAAATAAGTGAATATTAATTTAATGACAATAATCTACAACAATTAAAATAAGTGAATAATGTAACGCCCCGATTTCGACTATTCCTTTTTCGTTGAGTCCTTTTTGGTTTAATTGGGCGAATATTATTTGAATGTGGAATTTGTGTGGAAATATGTTAAGTTTGCATATTATTCTATTTTAACTGATTTTGGGAGTTTTCGGAGAAAATAGTTTGAAGGGTATTTTGGACATTTCCTATTTAATGTTAAGTGAGATATTTTATGAGATATGGAATTAGTTGATGTTTTGGAAAATAATGAGAAAGATATAAAAGAGGAAATAGAAAGGAAAGAAAAGGAAAAAGAAAGAAAAAGAGGAGAAAGAGAAGAGAAAGAAGAGAAAACCTAGATTCTTCAAGATCAACTAAAGCTTGCGATTAATTAGGTAAGGGTGAAAAGTTCTATCATCTTAATAATGTATAAGATCATATATGTACTAGATTTGAATTTGTTTGGTAGTTTCTACACTTTCCATTTTTAGGTCGAAATTGGATTAATCGATAGAAATCGTTGTTTAACGGTTAGAATCGTGTTTAGATGATGTAGATTAGTCGATATATGTTAGACTAAGGCTACTGGAATGACATTGGATTTAATCGGGTGATTTTGGTGAGTTTGGAAGTGCTAGGACAAAACTGAATGTTGCTGTTCGCAGGCGACTCGCTAGCAGCTCGCTAGGCGAGCAGGCCGCGAGCACTCGCTAGCAGCTCGCTAGGCGAGTGCGTAGCGAATGGTCCCAGACTTAGGACAATAAGGTTTTGGCATTCTTCGCTGGAGGCGAAGGGAGTGGCGAATGACTCGCTGATGGTTCGCTGTGGCGAACGAGGTAGCGAACGAAGTCTGGAGCTTCTGTTTGTGCTCGCTAGCAGTTCGCTAGGCGAGCAGGTAGCGAACGCTTGCTAGCAGCTCGCTAGGCGAGCGTGTAGCGAACGTAGCAGGATGAGCCTTCCCTGTTGCTTCGTGCTGTTTTGGCTTGGGGTTTCGGTTGCGATCGACCTCTTCTTGATTTGAGTAGCTTGTATGCTAGTTATGATGTGTTGTGGGTAGCCGTATGGCGTGAATCCTAGTTTATGAATTGTGAAGTGTGGAATGTGGCCGTTTGGCATTTTGGTGCATTACTTGAATGTAATAGAAATGCATGATGAGATTATATGATGAATGTATGTATGTATTGTGATATGTATATATAGTGGATGCATAATGAATATATGCAATGAATGCGAAGAATGCATGAGCATGTTCGCAAACGTGGTTGCATTTCAAGAAGTGTATGAAGTACATTCTTGTGCTGTTGACTCTTAGGAGAGTCTGATGAGTGGTGTGACTCTTAGGAGAGTCTGATGAATGAAGTGATTCCTAGGAGAATCTGATGAACAAATTGATTCCTCGGAGAATCTGATGAAAGATGTGATTCCTCGGAGAATCTGCTAAATGACTTGATTCCTCGGAGAATCTGATGAACAGTGTGATTCCTCGGAGAATCTGATGAACGGTGTGATTCCTCGGAGAATCTGATGAACGGTGTGATTCCTCGGAGAATCTGATGAACGGTGTGATTCCTTGGAGAATCTGATGAATGGTGTGATTCCTCGGAGAATCTGATGAATGGTGTGATTCCTAGGAGAGTCTGATGAGTGTTGTGATTTCTAGGAAGATCTGATGAGTTATAGGATACCCATGAGAGGTGGGAGTGAATTGATTCTTAGGAGAATCTGACGGACGATTAAGTCGATAATGTGTTGCATTTGCGTAGAGTAGCGAGTTGGCCTCTATGGTTTGCGTGTTGACATCTGTGCATGATGTATGGCGAAATAAGCATGTTGTGTATGTTTATTAGAATAATGTGAAAGGTGTGAATGACATAATGAAATGCTTGAAGATATATATATATGTATGAATGAATATATGTATATATGTATATGTGTGTAACATGTATGAATGTTCCTGAATGGATATAAACCTTAATGATGCATATTGTTTATGCTTGATGTTCTATTTGTAAATAGACTTTAGTGGATACATTGCGATGTACGATGTGAGTCGTGGTGAGAAAGCGTAAGATGCATGATTGTGGATATGATGTATATATATATGCCTTTATGCATTATTTGTTATGATATTGTTTCTCACCCTTCTGCTGTTTTATAATGCTCTATGAGGCATTGCAGATTAGATTGCTGGAGATCTTTTGTGAGGCGTGGCTTCATCCTTTAGTTGGTCAGCTCTGATATGTAGCACCGGGTAGCTAGGAGTTGTTTTGTTTCTTTTGTGATGCATGTGTCTATGTATCTGCTGATGAAAGTTATGTAACCATGTTGGTTGATGATTTGTATATATGAATACATGTGTTAGAGAATTATAAAATATTTGGATGTTCCGCCTTTGTTCTAGATATTTTCTCGTGGGTGTTACCTCCGTTGTTGCATATCATTATATATGAGCAGGTTTTTTATATGTGTGATTTTCGGATAATGTGGTATCTCCCTTTTATACCGTTTTATAA